GAACCCACCACCTTAGGTGTATGTGGCTGGCGCCTTAGCCGGTTGAGCTATAGGCGCCGAGCCCAATTCATTTCTTAAACTCATATTCGAGCCTGTGCTATTTGTTGGGCATTGGAGATACAAACATGGGGAAAAACGATAATTATCCTTACATAGTGTGAGAGTGTAATGAGAGTAATTGACAGAAAAGATAGAAAGGCATGATACAAAGGAGTGGGCATGTATATGTTTAAGTGAGAGCAGATTGTGGTATTCAGAAATGCTTCACTGAAAAGACTCTTGAGGTAGATTTGTTCACTGAGTAAGGGGTAAGAGGGTGGTGTCCCAGAAAAGGGAACAGTATGTGCACTCACAGAGGCAGAAAACAGCAGGAGACATTTAAGAAACTGAAAATAACTACAGATTATGTTGTGAGGTGGGGAAATAGGGAAAGATGACGTAGAAAGGTATAAAGGGCTAGATGCTCAAAGATAAGGTCTTTTACACCTGGGACACACTGCCCAAGCAGAGGCTGGAAAGTTAATTGGGATCAGTAGTATCCCTGACCTTACTGAGGGAAAGGCAGGCAGGCAGGCTGAAAACATCCTGATATCACACTGGTTTATTTGAGATATGCTCAGAAATTGTTGTTTGTACTCAAATTGCCTTAGATAACAGGTTGTCCTGGGTATTTATGAAATATTTTAAAGTTTAATATTTATTCTATTGTTTATATGTGATCTTTTCTATCTATCTCTTTTCAGGCAGAACGTGTTCATGAGTTAAATGAAGAAATTGGAAAATTGTTAGCCAAGGTGGAACAATTAGGAGCTGAAGGGAATGTGGAAGAATCCCAGAAAGTCATGGATGAAGTAGAGAAAGCACGGGCAAAGAAGAGAGAAGCAGAGGTAAATTCTTTTTTTCAGTTTTTGGCCAGGGCTGGGTTTGAACCCACCACCTCTGGCATATGGGGCCAGCGCCCTACTCACTGAGCCACAGGTGCTGCCCCAGAGGTAAATTTTTAGTAGTAGTATATAAACCTTTAATATCTGTACTTCTTAAAAAACATATGTTTGACTGGAAATTATTGAAAAGTAAAGGGAATTTAAACCAATTTTAAGACATTGGTGTGATCCATATTATAGTATAGGCAGTCACTGAGTTGTGAACAAGATAGATTCTGTAGGTTTGTTCTTAAGTTAAATTTGTGTGTCAGTTGGAACAGGTACGTTTACCTGTAACAGCTTCTGTTTGAGTGACTCATACATGTCAGTTGAATGTTTCTAACTCAAGAGGGACTGCCTGTGATAGATTTTGTTTCAAAATAGTGGGGTTTTGGCATTTAAAGCCATTGATACGTTGAAATTTGTAATTGGTAAATGAAATTAAGCTGATAGCTAATAACTTAATAGTTATACACAGAAAATCGACATATATCCACACTGTGTATACTTGGTCACTGTTATACCCTATCCCTCCTCAACCCCCTTGGATCTATAGCATTCTTCCTTCCTTTCCCCTCGGTACAATCTGCTAGCATATTGAGATCCTCCTCTCAATCTTCCTTCCCAGCACAATTCAAAATCTCATATCCTGCAGACACAGTTCTAGTTTGATTAGCACACCTGTTGTTTTTTAGAAAATTGAATATCTTTGTTAGGGATTGTACTTTACCCTTTTGCCATAGTCTCCACTGCTGCTAACTGATCACACCTGTCCTGCCTCACAGTAACCTGCATGGCCTCCCTAGATACCTACTCTTGGGATTCCTCCTGTGCAGTGTTTCCTCTCAATCCTGGGCACTTGTCTCCTCCCCCTGTTTTTCCTTTTTAAACCTCTCACCAATGTGCTTTTTTTTACTGTGGGAGAGGGTTGATTTTTTTTTTCTTTTTTTTTTTTTT